TGTTGAAAAGACTGTCCTTTCTCTATTGAATTGCTTTTGTACTTTTGTCAGAAATGCCTTTGAGCATGTATGTGTTGGTCTAATTCTGGACTCTGTTCTGTTCCTTTGATCAGTGTTTGTCCTTTTGCCAATATCATACTCTCTTGATTACCATAGCTTTATAGTAAGTCTTGAAGTAGTGTGACTCCTCCAACTTCATTCCTCTTTTCAAAACTGTTTGACTGTTTTAGTTCTTTTGCATTACTATATAAATTTTAGAAGTAGCTTTTCAATTTCTACAAAAAATTCTGCTGGGATTTTGATTGGGAGGGCATTGATCTGTAGTTGAATTTGGAAGAGAATTGACATCTCAACAATATTTAGTCTTTCAATCCATTAGCAGAGTGTATCTCTTCATTAACTTAGGTCATCTCTGATTTCCTTCATCAGTTTTGTTTTTGTTTTTAATATAGATTGTTTGTCTATATTTTGTTAGATTTGTACCTAAATATATCTTTTCTTAATTTTGGATTTTCATTTGTTTCTTGGTTTTGTTTGGTTTTTGTTTTGTGGATTTTGGTTTATTGTAAATAGTAATCTTTTTAAAAAATTTCAATTTCGAATTGTTCTTTGCCATAGAAGTAGTATATTTTTGTATATTGACCTTGGATCTTGACTTTTGTAAATTCGTATATTAGTTCTAGTAATGTTATTGTAGATACTTAGGGGTTTACTACACCAAAACTTATATTGTCTGAATGGAAAGTTTTATTTCTTCCTTTCCTACCTGTCTGTCTTCGTTTTTTCTTTTCTTGCCTTATTGCACTGGGTAGAAACTCCAATACAATATTGAACAGGAGTGCCTTGTTCCTGGTTTTAAGGGTAAAACATTTATTCTTTCACCATTCAATATAATGTTAATTGTAAGGTTTTTTAGATAGATTTTATCAGGTTGAGCAAGTTCCCTTCTGTTCCTAGTTTGCTGAGTTTTTATCATGAATGGATGTTGAATTTTGTCAGAAACCTTATCTGTATCTATTGGGATAATTGTATAGATCCTTTGTCTCTTGATATGGTGAATTCCGTTGCTTTTCGACTATTGAGCCAGCTTTACATTCCCAGGATCAACCCCATTTGTTCATGATGTGTCTTCCTTTTTATATATTGTTGAAATTGATTCAGATATTTTATTAAGGACTTTTGTGTCTCTGTTCATGAAGGATATTGATCTATATAGTCTTCTTATACTGTCTTTGTATGGTATCAGGGAAGCGCTGGCCTCATTAATTGATTTGATTAATTTTCTAATTGATTTCTGTTTTCTCTAAGAGATTGTTTAGAACTGATACTATTCCTTTAAATTTTGGAAGAATTTGTCAGGAAAACTTCTGGCTTTCAATATTTCTTTTATGGAAGGTTTAAACTATGAATTCATTGTATTAATAGTCATAGATCTATCCAGGTTGTCTTTTTCATTTTGGGTGAGTTTTGATAGTTTGGGGTTTTTGAGTAATTTCTCCATGTCATGGAGAATTTGTATGCGCAGAGTCACTTACAGTATTATTGCCTTGTTTGCTTTTCATGCCTGAAACATCTGTAATCTATCCCTGCTTTCATTCCTGATATATGTCTTCTATGTCCTGATAATGTGTCTGATTCATGCCTTCTATCTTTTGCTGTTTGGCAGAGATTTTGCAGTTGTCAAAGAACCTATTTTTAGTTTCATTGATTTCTCTCTATTTCTTGATTTTCAATTTTATTAATTTCTGCTCTTTGTTATTTTCTTCTTTCTGCTTGTTCTGGGTTTATTTTGTTCCAGTTATGGATTTAACACCTTTGTTTTCCTACAAGCACCTCATACAGTAATTTTCCCTCTGAGCACTGCTTTAGTTGCATTCCATAAATTTTGATGTATTGTCTTCATTTTCCTTTAACTCAAGATATTTTCTTATTTACCTTGAGATTTGTTCTTTTGACCCGTGGATGATTTAGGAGTTTGTTGTTTACTTTCCAAATGTGTGAAGATTATCCTTCGGGTTATTGATTTCTGGTAAAATTCCCTTATGTCCAGAGAGCACATTTTGTCTATTTTCAATTTTTTCAAATTGAGTTTCTCAAATAGTTAGGTTCAGATCTTTCACCAAATTTGAGGTATAATTATCCATTATTTCTTCAAATATTTTTTCTGCCCCACACCCTTTCTTCTGTAACTTTGGTGACATGAATATTAGATCTTTTGTTATTGTCCCACAGCTCCCTCAGCAGGCTCTGTTCTGTTCTTTTTTTTTTTTTGGCTAGTCTTTTTTCTCTCCATTGTTCAGATTGATTGATTTCTCTTGATCTGTCGAGTTCACTCTATGAATGATACTCAAATGCTGGTATTTAGTCCATCTAGTGCATTTTAAAATTTTGGTTATTGAATCTTTTCAGTTCTAAAATTTCCATTTGTTTCCACTTTATATGGAAACTGTTTCCACTTCCACTGTTTTTTTATTGATACTTTCTTAACATTCCCCTTAAGAGTTCACCCTTACTTTTGGAGAATTTTTATAATAGATCTATTAAAATCTTTTCCAATTAATTCCAACTTCTGTGTTATTTTGGCATTGATGTGTCTGTTGATTGTCTTTTCCTGTGTGAGTTGAGATTTTCTTTGTAGTTTATATGTTGAGTAATTTTGGATTGTATTTTAGATATTTGGATGTTGTGTTATGAGGCTCTTGATTTTGTTTAAATGCTATGGAGAATATTGATTTTTTTTTTAAGCAGGCAAACAGTCTGCTTGGGTTTAAGCTACAAGTTCCAACTAGCAACCTTTGGATTGTAGTTGTAATGTCAGTTCTATTTTCAAAGCCCTTGCCGTGCTCGCCAGATCAGTTCTGAGTGTACACCTTCCAGAGGCTACCTTGGGACCTGGGCAGTGGTCTTAGTTTATTTCTGAAAGTCTTTGCTATGCTATTTAGGATCAGATCCAAGTAAATGCTGCTCTGGGGTGAACCTAGAAATTTACATACAACTTTCTAGCTCACTTTCCTGAGTTCCTGGTACTTTGTGATCTCCCTGATATTTTTCCTTTCCTTGGGCTCCCCTTTTTGTTCCTCCATCCTGAAAGCTGATGTTTTATTTTTCCTGTTCTGCTGCATATTTCCCACAACTACATCCATGTCCAAGGTAAAGCAGTGTATGCTTGTGTTATCTCCCATTCCTTGGGCTTCCTGTGTTGCAGTGGACAGGAAGATATAGATGTTTGGAAATAAGTCAAATTTTACAGTGCCTCTTTTATCAAATATATACCTTGTATGTAGGACTGGCCCTGTTTTTATATGTCAAGGCATTTACAGCAGAGATGATCTTTTTACCGAGATGAGTCTTGTAAAATTTCTTTGTTTTTTTGTAACATTTTTTAATGTGGCGTTGAGAACATTTTTTGTGTATTAGGACATTGCCTCCCCTCTCAGGTCAAGTTCTTAATGTCCATATGTCATCACCAATAAAAATTTAGTTTACCTGTGCTAGAAATTTGGCAGATGCTTATTCTTCGCTGTCAATCAGTATTACCTGTTGAACTTTTCTGAATACACATCCCTAGGCCCTATCCCTAGAGATTCTGATTTACCAGGTATACAGTACAATAAATAAAGAAGAAAATGACCTACATGCTTATGTCTCCTATTTTAGCACTTTTGTTTCAATGCAGGACGTTTCCTTGGTCTGGGAAGTTTCCTTTGGGGCAGATATGTCTGAGGAAGATTGCAATGGTAGTGCTCCTCGAAGGTTGTTGATTCAGTGGGTGTCCCAAGGCAGCTGGGTACCATCTGAAGAAACAAGGTGTCAAACTGCAGCTGTACTGCCTCACCATCATCCCAGGAATATTCTTCACTGGTGCATCTTTTTTGAGGTTGTCTGTCAATCAGTGAACATACCATTTCTTAGCTGGTTATTCCTAAACCAGTTCAGCAAGGGGTACGACTTAACACTATCCTGTCATTTTCTTTATTGCATTTAAGGATAAAAAGTTTAACTTTTTCAACTTTTTTTGGGGGGGGGGGGAAGATTGGCCCTGCACTAAGATCTGTTGCCAGTCTTCCTCTTTTTTCTGTTTTCTCCCCAAAGCCCTAGTACATAGTTGTGTATCATAGTTGTAGAGTTGTAGCTGTTCTGTGTGGGATGCCGCCTTAGCATGGCTTGATGAGCGGTGAGTAGGTCTGTGCCCAGGATCTGAACCGGCGAACCCCGGGCCGCCAAAGCAGAACGTGCGAATTTAACTGCTATGCCACCAGGCCGGCCTCTTTTTCAGCTTTTTTTCATTGAGGTATAGCATATATTCAGTGAAGTGCTTAAGGTGTACCAATCCTTAAGTGTCTAGCTTGAACTTTTCATGTGTGTGTACCCACGTAACCACCATACAGTCAAGACATAGAACATTTCCTGCACCCTAATAGGTTCCCGAGTGTTCCTTCCTGCTCAGTAATCCTTTCCCCTGAGTCAAGCACTGTTCTTCTGATTTCTAGCACCATAAATTAGTTTTACCAGTTCTCAGACTTCATTTAAATAGTCATGTAATAGGGTACTTGTGCCTAGTATTTTTAATCAGATGATTTTTGTGGCCATGCCTTGTTGAGTTATTTAATATTATTGTTTCTGACTCCTTTATACTCAAAACATCAAAGCAGATTTAATTTGGCTTTTATTTTACATTTTTCGTAGGCGAGATAATCTTAAAATTCTTTAGGAAATTTCCCATATTCCTTTTGCCACTCTAAAACTTTCAGTGTTCTTCTGCTTCATCCACTAATATAGTGTCTGTTATTTATTTCCACAGATTATTCTTGGCCTAACTCTCTTTTTTTCCTCTTCCCCATTTCCTACTACCAGTGCATAGAGATGGAAAGGAGATTTCTAAAATCTTATTTCCTCTTCGTTCTTTGCTGTGCTAGCATTTGGCCTAGAGTGAATTCAAGTTGAACTGAATGTCTGCAGTTATTGTACATTAATCTCATGTTTTCCTTCTCTTCTGACAGCATGATGGAAGTGGTTCATTGCATGATATCCAACTATCATTGCCATCCAGTCCAGAACCAGAGGATGGTGATCAAATATATAAGGTATGACTAGATAGTCATGCTGAATTTTTCAAAATTCTTTTTTATTACTAAAATTATAAAGCAATAGCAATTAAAACATTTAATAAGAAATATATTAAAACCTGCAGCTTTGCTGTCTTGGATTTTAATCAGGTTTGCTTTTAACTTTTGCTACCTTATTATGTTAAAATGATATCCCTGTGGTGTTTTATTTTGAATTTATTTTATCAGTTGGATAATCAGTTGTCCCTGTAGTACTACTGGTACAGAATTCTTTTTCTTAAATCATCAAATTTTTTAATTCTTTTTTTATAATTATGAATAACAGTTTTTAAAATATGACTACCAGTAAAATTTAAAATGGTTAATAGGTACTTCTCATATATAATCACAGCATTGAAGAAATATACTGAAAATGAGATTAATTTTCTTTTTTCATGTTTAAAAATATGATTGTAGGATGCAGATGCATCTTAGTGTTTCGAAGTAAATTTTTTATAATTCTCATCTTTAGGTCTATTTTTAGTTGGAAAAATCTCTTTTTTTTGCAACTATTTCTGAAGCACATATTTATTTCTTAAGCACACACAAGTATTCTTGATTTTTTAAAATATTTCCAAGTAAAATTATTGGTTGCTTTTCTTGTTATTTTCAGGGTATGCTAGTCAGTGTTTGATAGTCATCTGTAGTAGCAAACAACCTTGGAATATTGGTGGCTTACAATAACAAAAGTTTATTTCTCACTTGTCATTTCTCAATATGTTACATATTGGCTGGAGATCAGCTAGGACTCTGCTTCATGTGTCTTCTTCATTCTGGTATCCAGGCTAAAGGATCAGCCTCTATCCTGGGACGTGTTGTTTTTGTACCTGAGGGAAAAGAGCATTGGCAGAACCACATGTAGATTCTGCTTGGATGTAGCATAGGTCACTTCCAAAACAAGTCAAATGGCCAAGCCTAGTATTAGGGGTCAGAGAAGCATAATTTTCTCATAGGGTGTGCAGTGACTTACTGGGAACAAGATTGTATGTAAATCAATCAAATCAAAAGAATATAGGATGGTAGTCGTATCTAGTTATCTAATCTGGGCTTTTCAACATGTTACATGCCTGTCCTTGCTCACATTTCTTCCCATCTTTGGGCTTCATCCTATTTTGAGTATAATAATATTCTAAATCAGCAGGTCTGTAGCACGACTTCTCTTTTTTAAAAATCTTTTACATACACACTTGTGCCAGTTGGGAACCATTGACTTAGGTGATCTCTAATTATCTCTCAGTTTTTTAAGTATTGTGACTGATATTTTAAAAGTAAAGTTGACTTTTTTCTTAAAATTTTTTTGTGGGGCCGGCCCAGTGGCGCAAGTGGCCCAGGGTTCACCGGTTCGGATCCTGGGCGCATACCGACGCACAGCCATGCTGTGGTGGCATCCCATATAAAGTAGAGGAAGATGGGCATGGATGTTAGCCATGGGTCAGTCTTCCTCAGCAAAAAGAGGAGGATTGGCAGATATTAGCTCAGGGCCGATCTTCCTCACCAAAAAAAAAATTTTTTGTGAAAAGTTTTTTACATGTGAAGAAATTCTTTTTTTATTGTTGTTGCTGAGGAAGATTCGCCCTGAGCTAATGTCTGTTGCCAATCTTCTTCTTTTTGTATGTGAGCCACCGCCACAGCATGGCCACTGACAGACAAGTGATGTAGGTCTGTGCCTGGGAACCGAACCTGGGCCACTGAAGCGGAGCGCACCAAACCTAACCACTAGGCCACCAGGGCCAGCCCAAGAAATTCTTTTTAAAGAAAAAAAATTTAATTCCATCTTTTTTCCACAACTAGTGTCTTCATTTTTTCCTATGTTCCTTTGGAGTTTGTCTATATATTTAATATTACACGACAGAAATATTGTTACATAGTATTTATTTCTTATCCTCACTCCATTTCCTTTCAGGCAGATCATTCCTATTCTTTCTTCCTTCTTTTTCCAGGTGAGATGTGATAGCTGATACTGTCTCTCTCCGGTACACTAGACTCTCTTGCACCTTCATTGGCAAATCCCCAACTATGTCACCTTCTCCTCCAAAATGGTTTAGCAGTTCAGTTTCAAATGATACAAATATGGTGACTTGTGCCAATTTAGAGTCTGAAATCTCCACTGGACTTGCAGGTCTCCTATCTATCCTTTATCTCGGGACAGCTCTCCCATTCCCTTGATGAGCTATTCCAGACATTGACCACTCTCCTCAGGCCTCATTCTCAGCCACTCTTCTCATCTTCTGCAGGTAACCTTGTATTCATCAAGCCAGATCTTATGCCACCTCCCTTCTTGCCTTCTGACTTACCTGTATCTATCATCATTCTCATTCACTTCGTTCCAGTTACAGGGCAAAAGTGGCCGCTATGCTGTGGAAGACCACCCTTTCTTGTGTTCTTGACTCTATTTTCTGCTGCTGTTAAGGACCTGACTACATTGTCCTCTCATCCTTCTTCACTGTGCTTTCTCTGCTGCCTCTTCATTCTCAGTTAATAAATTTCTATATTTTACCTATCTTAAATTCAGTAAATCAGATATACCTTTCCTTGACTCTCCTTAAACCCCTTTCTAGTTAACATGGAAACTTGGAAAAATGAAAATAGATACTGGTTTTAATGCTGTAGACATTTGCATGACCTTTGTCTTAAAAGCTTTATCTCTTGGTTTTTGTGCCACTTCTCTCTGAAATTCCTTATACCCCTCAACATTTTCCCCCCGTTTCCTTTGTAGATTCCTTCTCTTCTTTAGGATGTAGATTTATATCTTTAGTTCAGTCCTCTTCGAACTTTTTACTGTCATGATTTCACTTATGACATATATATTGATCTCACGTAAAATCTCTCTTTCGTATTTGGTAATCTAGTTGCCTGCTGGACGTTTCCACTGTATGTCCCACCTACAGGTACCTCTAACAATATATTTAAAACTTACAAATATTCCTCTTTGGACATATTTCTCCTCTTTTATTCTCCATTTCTTTTGGTGGCCCAACCATTCACCATATCACCCAAGCTAGAAATACAGATGTCACTCTTGATTGCTCTTCTGTGCTATTCTCTCACGTGTAGTCAATTGCCAAAATCTCCTAATTTTGATTCCTTCTCCCTATTATCACTCTCTTGGATCAGGCTATTAGTCTCATCTGAAGGATTACAACATCTTGATAACAAGTTCCCTAGCATGGTTTTGTTGTTGTCATTAAATTGGTCCTCCAGACAGCTGTCAAAGCCATCTCAAATGCAAATCCATCTGTCACTGCCATGCTTGATATTCCGGGCCCGCTATGATCTGGCCCTTACCCAGTTTACTAAACACATTGCTCCCCACTGTTCACCACAGCCTTTGTGCAACAGCATCACTGCTTGTAGTTCTCCAAATATGCTATGCTTGTCCTCATCTCTTTGTTGTCATACAATACTTAGAATCCCTTACCCTAAAATCCAAAGCCTGCCACACTTGTGTCTTCAGCACTTTTTACTCGTCCTTTAAGACTCCCCTGGAGTTACCCATTTCCTAACGTGTTCTCCTTTGCCTCTCTTTATGTGTAAAATCCTTAGAGTGGTGCCTGTCATAAAGTCATATTGTCATGTCATGTTGGCTATTAATGTTATTACCACATTGTATTTTGATTTTGTTTTTGGGTCCGTTTTCTCCAGTACCGGCAGAACCTAGCAATGACTAAATGATGACTGTAGTTTTCCATCAAGTTGCTACATTCTATTTCAATTGTCCTCTTCTAGGACAATTGTAAATTTGTGAACTTTCAGGTAATACCTTGTTGTAGGTTTCTCATACTTAAGATCATTTCTTTGTCACAGATTCTTAGGCGTGGGATAACTGAATCAAAGAGTGCAAATATTTTCATGACTCTCATATACACAGCCATATGTCTGTCCAGAAAGGTCAGCTGTGATGTTCAATGATGAATCATTTTTTTCTGCAGTCTTGTTAATCACATTGAGTATTTCTCCCCTAAATTCAATACCTATAAAGCAATACCTTTTATACTTTAATTGGTATTTCTTCAAGAACATTTTGCCAATTATATGTATGTTTGTGAGAACTGGTTATTTGTCTATCAGGTCCTAGAAAATGATCTTAAAAATTTGAACAGCCTCTTAATATACTTGCGCTATAAATCCTTTGTCATATTTGCATAGGTTTTCACCAGCTTTTAACTTAATGTTAACTCTATAGATGCTCAAAAATTTTATATAATCAAATATATTTATCATTTCTTAATAGCTTCATTTGCCACATAGCTTAAAAATGTATCCTTTGTGATCTGCAGTCCATCTTTTTATTGGTCTTGATTTATGATTTTTTAAAATTCCTGAACTCTTTTTAAATTCAACTGGAAATCATTTTTTATATATAATAAACAATCTTTCCCAATTGCAGTTTACATAATAGCATTTAAAAAAATCTTTTCTTCCCCATTGTTTGTGATGCTTATTTGATATGTTAAAGCCTTTGTAAATATCTGTTTCTGATCTCTTGTTAAAGAAACTACAATATATTTTTTTCTTCTAACATATCTGAAGGAGATGGCATACTTTGCTCAGTAGCAACACATTATAATTATTTGTTTATATATTTTTCTCTCTGGAAAGATAGATCATTCACCTATATATTCTAATTTCCTTGCTTGCACTACTGCTTCAGTATATGTTTCTGGATGATTTAATAGCAGTAAACAAAATGCACTAACTGTAGGGTAAAGATACTTTACCCTATATGTATATAGGGTATATGAAATGTAACTGGACTTCTGCTTAACATAACAATAGGTTTCCATTTAATACTATTAGGAATTTCTTGTAGACTAAGTTGACAGGGTATTTTCCCTTTGATTCAGGCAGTTCTCAGGAAAGTGGCTTGTGGAAAAAGAATCTCCCTTCTTACCCTTCAGGTGCGTTTATCTTGCTGCTGACTTCTTAACCAGCCTTGACATGACCTTGTGCCTTTAGTTACGCTCTTCCCTCTGCTGTTGTGCCCTTCGTTTTCTCTGACAGGCGACTCTTACACATCCTTTGAAATCTAGCTCAAGATACTGTTTCGTCTGTAATTCTTTTGCTGTATGGCCTATATCCCAGTTTTGTTATCTATAAAATGGGGATAATAGTACCTACCTCAGGGATGTAGTCAGGATCGAATGCTTAGATACCTAAAGTGTACTTAGTTCTTGGCACTGGTAACTATGCAATGCAGTTGGCTGTTGCTGCTGTTATTGTTCATTGTTTACATGTCAGATTCCCTTAGACCGAATTCTTAGAAGACTAAAGTGGCTTTTTTGTTTGTTTGTTTTTTTATAGGTTAATTGCTGGCATATTTAAGAAGAATTTTTCCCTTAAATGAGCAGACCATTCATGACTCAGTTTTCATCATTGATTTAATGCTTCGCATTAGGGTATTTTAAATACAGTTAAATACTTCATGTTAATTTTTTTAAATATTTCAGAATGAAGATTTATTAAATGAAATAAAACAACTTAAAGAGGAAATAAAGAAAAAAGATGAAAAAATTCAACTATTAGAACATCAGCTTGTGAGTATTATAGAGTAGTATGTAAAGTGGGGGCTTTTCAAACTGGCAGTATATATTTTTTATAAAACTCTAGTCAGAATTGAAATTTGACTTTATTTTTGGCTTTCAAAGTTGTACTATTGTATTATTTTTAGATTATATGTACTTTGAAAGTACTCTCAGTCTAAATATTAAGTTTTCAAGGTGGAAAGAAAATCTTTGTCAATCCATTTTCAGTGGCCTCTGTTTTGGGGGTTTGAAATTCACCAATTTACATACATTTATTGATGCAGGGTAAATGTCTTTCCTTCATGTATGTTTAAAGATGCGAGTACTGGTGAGTTGAGAACAAGGCATATTCTCTCTGAGAGCAGAATGAAATTGGGAATTCAGGCTTAGGTATTTGTAGGTCCATCAGTAAAAAATTCTAAAAAAAATGTTTTTTCCCCGTGGATGATGTTGAGTGATCCCTCAGAGCCATGTTTGAACCTTTTTAATTTTGTAATTGTTACAATGACAAATGTTAGTCCCATATGAGAACAATATGTGAAGTGCCTTGAATTTAGTTATAATTTAGTTTAAAAGGCCAGGATAATAAGAACATAATGGCATAAAAATCACAGTAGGCCAAGGAAGATCTTTGTTGGAAATCAAAAGCATATGTTGGTATAGCAAAGCAATTCAGCAATATAAAATACTGATCTCACTCAGAATGTAAAGGATGTGATATGTTGAATCTCTGAGCCATTGAGGTCAGATCACAGATTCAGCTCCTGAATAAATAGTAAGGACAGACAGATATTATGATTAAGGGTACAAAGACAACTTAAGAATCTAAAAAAAAGGGCCAGCCCCGTGGCTTGGCGGTTAAGTGCGCCCTTGCTCCGATGCTGGCGGCCTGGGTTCGGATCCCGGGTGCGCACTGACGCACCGCTTCTCCGGCCATGCTGAGGCGGCGTCCCACATGCAGCAACTGGAAGGATGTGCAGCTATGACATACAGCTTTGGGGGAAAAATAAATAAATAAAATTGTAAAAAAAAAAAAAAAAGAATCTAAAAAAAGAGTAATTGAACATTGCGAATTGAGCACCTATTAAATATAAAATTAAAAAATAAAATAGTAAGCCTAATTTTTATTTTTCAAAGCTAAAGACAAGGACTCAACCAACCCAGCCAATTTTCAGGAAGAAGAAAAAAAGACAGTGTTAGGAAATAGAGTAAGCTTCAAATTTTGCAAAGATGTACTACAAAACACAAGAGGTTGTTGTGTCTAGTGCACTTCAGAAAAAGGTTATGACCCCCATATTTTATATTGAAACAAATTTTTATTTATAAACAAAGGTAAATTCTCGTACTTTTAATGTTTTGAAAAACGTACCACCCAGTTATCTTTGTAAAATTGCTTAATAATGCATTTGAAATACCTGAGGGAGAAATTAAAAATAACTCAAGAATAAGAAGGTAAAGGTTGAAATGAATGAGTGGTAAAATGATATTGATCTTTAGAGAGGGACCGGCCCAGTGACGCAAGCTGTTAAGTGCCGCGTGCTCCGCTGCGGCGGCCTGGGGTTCGCCGGTTCAGATCCCGGGTGCGCACCGACGCACCGCTTGTCAAGCCATGCTGTGGTGGCGTCCCATATAAAGTGGAGGAAGATGGGCACGAATGTTAGCCCACGACCAGTCTTCCTCAGCAAAAAGAGGAGGATTGGCAGATGTTAGCTCAGGGCCGATCTTCCTCACAGAAAATAAATAAATAAATAAAAATAAATAAAGTGTAAAGTCCCAAAGTGGACTTTGCACTTCAGTAAAAAAAAAAAACGAAAATCATCTTTAGAGAGAGTAGGTGGCATAAACTTCCCAACCACTAATGGGAGAAAACTTATTGTGCTTTATTTCATCTTAATGTAATTATACGTCAACGTCATTTGAATGTTGGCGTTTTTTTTTTGAGTTTATACAATTTTAATTTTTTTGAAATTAAAAAAATATTTTTAATTTTTAAAATTTTGAATTGCTATTAATTTTTGAAAGTATTTAGATTAAATAAAATAGGTTTGAGTAAGAAGATAAGGACTATGCTGAAGAAGTCAGAAGAACTGAATTTTTATCTTCTACAAATGAGTATCTAAAATTATTTTCTAAATTATTTTAAGACTATTTTTTATATACTTAGATAAATTATAAAACGTGAAATACTTTAAGATAACTATTAGTAGGTTAGAATATTGTATCTTGCAAAAGATAAAAGTAAAAAAAGACATAAAGTAGAAAAATACCAAGGATATCTAAAAACAGCAAAACTAAGGTGACAGAAATTAGACCAAATGTAATAAATATAATAGTAAATGCAAATGATCTTATCTTATGGAGAGAGTTTCATTGAGGATTTAAAGCCAAATCCATTAACTTTCTCTGTATAAAGGAAATTTAGATGAAATAAAATGGCACAATAATCCTGAACATAAAAGGTTGGGCAAGACAGAATGAAATTCTCATCAAAAAAGTTGGGGTTGCAATGTTAAAATTAGAAAAATTTAAGACTGAAAGAATTATGAAAAGAGGTCACTTTATATTGATATATGGTTAATAAATAATGAAAGATAAAGCTTTTTGTTCTGAGAAGTTTTACTAGTGTTTTTTTAACCCCAATGTACTTCTTTATAAAATAAGAACAGTTCTCTTCGTAGCTGAAATATTATCATCTTTAACCAATTAATATTAATTCCTTAATAGCTTCTTATTCCAGTCCATATTCAGATTTCTCCAGTTCCAAAAATATCCTTTCAATTGTACATTACATCTAGTTATATCTCTTGAGTCTCTTAATTTAAAACCATTCTTTTTGTTGTTGTCCTGACTCGTTGAAGAGACTGGGCCAGTTGTCCTGAACAATATCTCACCTTGCAATTAATTTTTAGAAAGGTTTTACAAATATCTAAGAGAATCCTGAAGAAAGGTGAAAGCGTTACTCTCTAGCAATATGTGCTTTGAAATTCTCTGTATTTGATATATGAAACCTGGAAATCATATTTTATTTTGGAAAAGCCCATCACCTATCTTTGGTTTAGTTATGGAACTCTAGAAACTCACCTGTTCACATCAAGGGAATTTAAAAAGATATAAACCTCTGTAAGTAGAGATAGCTAACAGCATTTTTTACGTTATCAAAATTAAAATTTTGATTTCTATTTACAATTTATTCTTTCTATTTACAATTTATTTATTTATTTTTTGTTTCCTTACATCACTAAACTGCTTTTCTTAAAGTAGCAGAAGAAGAGCCGTAGACTGGGAATTAGAAGACTTTTCTTATCTTCAGTGTTAATTAGCTGATTGACATTGGCAGTTTCCATCACTCTCTAGTGTTTTCTTTATCAAAAATGTGGAGGTTTTTCTAGGTGATTTCAAAGTCCCTTTCCGGTTCTGGCTTTCTATGCTTTTTATCTTTTTTTTGAAAATATGCATTCAACTCTAACCTATGTTTGCGTGCAAACTTTCAGAAAAATAAAGTGGTGAATTCATATTTTATGTGAAATATGCAGATATAACGTCAGATTTCAGTGCTCCAGGAATGTAACTGAAAGGTAGAACATCGACTATTCAAACCTTATTCCAACATGCAAGAATGCCAGTTGATTTTCACTTCAGTACACCAGTTACATAATAATTTATCTAAATTAATAGTTTAGAATAATTTTATGAAATTACTAGTGTCGAACTTCTTTTTTTTTTTTGTGAGGAAGATCGGCCCTGAGCTAACATCTGCCAATCCTCCTCTTTTTGCTCAGGAAAACTGGCCCTGGGCTAACATCCATGCCCATCTTCCTCCACTTTATATGGGACGCCGCCACAGCATGGCCTGACAAGCGGTGCGTCAGTGTGCACCCGGGATCCTAACCAGCAAACCCTGGGCCGCCGCCCCGGAGCGCGCGCACTTAACCGCTTGCGCCACCGGGCGGCCCCATGTCAAACTTCTTTATGGAGACATAGCTAGCATGTAATATATTTGAAAAACCATGACCAGCTTTGAAGCTGAATAGACCTGGGTTCAAATCCTGGCTCTGAAACTTAATAGCCATGTTTTCTTAGGGAAATTAATTTCTCTTAAGCCTCTTCTGTATATGGGGATAATAAAAATAATACTGACCATGTAGGGTTGTAATAGTTAAATGAACTATGTATGTAAACTACCTAATGCTATACCTGGGCCATAGGTAGGTGGTAAATAGTAACTCTTATTTAATGTCTTACCCTAAATTACCAGCTAGTAAATCAGTGCATATCTTATGATGTTTTAAGTTCCAAGTAAAAGTCCCTAACTAAAGTGACTTAAAAATAAGAACATTTGTAAACTTAAATAACAGGAAAGTATGTGTGTGTGTGTGTGTGTGTGTGTGTATAGGAAATGGTCTCATCCATTTCCATGGTTGCTTAATTAGTCATTTGGGTAATGATGAAGTTCTAGGTTGGCTTTTCTGGAATCCTCTTGGCTGTCCCTTCATGGTTACAAGATGTCTGCTGTAGCTCTGTGTGTCACATATTTACAAAGTAGTCCCCAAAGGTAGGAGAAGGGCCTGTTTTCTCTAGCATGCCTATTTTTAAAATTAAGAACACTTTCTCAGAAATAACCCAGACTTTCCTCATGTTTTATTGGCTAGATTTGGGTTCTTGGTCCCCTCCTAGGCATAGAGGAATAGGATTAACCAGATTGGTTCAGACTAATCAAAATCTATCGTTGGGTCAAAGAGAGAGGATGCACTTCCCTGAATACGGGACCACATAGAAGGTGAGCATCTGAAGAGAATCTGTCAGTACTAAGGAAAGCAGTTGCAGAGGGAATGATTTGGGTAGTCGTTTTACATCTATTGAAGTGTCATTAAAAACTAGGTTTTCCGAATTATGGAAAATTCAGATATTTGCCAAATGTTCTTCATATGTTAACACGCAGACCACGGAAAGGAAATTATTTCTGGAGTTGCATTAGTCAGGATAGAATAAGTAATGTGTTTGCATTAAGATAAATGTTCTATATTTTCTTTTCTATTCTTTACATATCTACCATATATGTTAAAAGTTAAGCCATATTATAGTGAATTCCAAGAGACTCTAAGGTGACCTGTTTATATATTGAATTTTGTTTCAATGACTATCCCATTTTTTACGAATGGGAAATAGGTCTGTACTACAGAGATTTTTGTTTTTAATTAGATTTTATTTTGTATATGAAAATAGGAATAATCTGATTGTCGTTAAGAAAAATTTTGAATATTGGTAAATATTTTTAAAGTAGAAACTTATAATTTTAACTTGATGCAGTAATCAAGAATTTGTGAGCCAGCCCTGATGGCCTAGTGGTTAAAGTTCAGTGCACTCCGCTTCGGCGGCCCAGATTTGTTTCCCAGGCGTGAAACCACACCACTCGTCTGTCAGTTGCCATGCTGTGGTGGCGGCTCACGTGGAAGAACCAGAGGAGCTCACAACTATACACAACTATGTACTGGAGCTTTGGGGGGGAAAAGGAAGAAAAAAGAAAGTAAAAAGGAGGAAGATTGGCAACAGATGTTAGCTTAGGGCAAATCTTCCCCTGGAAAAAAAAATTTAAAGAATTTGTTATATGGGTTTTCCTACAAGAAAGTATATTTACCTCTAGTGGGCTTGTGTAACAAATAATATGGCTGTACTCCAACTTCACACTAAGGAGAAATTCTCATTATTAATCTGTTCATTTTTTTTTTTTAATTTGATATTTGAGAGACCAGAGTTTACACAGTATAAATGACTAAGTGAGCGTGCTTTGAGCGGAATCATGTGTAGAGAATTCATTTGTGAACTGAGATGGTCAGATGGATCTCGTCAAAGGCCAGAGATCCTTCAAAATATTCCAGTCCAAAAAAGTCAACACATCATTAAAGGGGCTTAAAAGCACTATCCGTGTGAACAGACAACCATACTTGTGGACTGATGAGATCCTGTAGTCTCATCAAAAATGAATTTAAGAAACTATGCTGTAGTGACTGTCATACCATAATAGTTTAGGAAAATATTTAAAATTTTATAGTTATATTCTTTACATACTATATATTGCTGTATATATTCTATATATATATATACACATAGTACTGTATATATTTATATACATAAAATTATAGGTAATGTAATTTATGGACAATATAAGAGATTGCCAAAGGTAATTTTGACTATTCGAAATTTTAGTATTACTGGTGGACGCTAGAACCCAATCTCTGAATAAGATGGGAGACTATTGAATAGACTTTGATGTTTGCCCTTTTTTGTTGTTGTTTTTTTAACCCCCTAAGAGAGACCCTAATTACTTTTGTCTGTACGTGTATGTGTATATGTAGAATTATGCCAATGTAAAAATTGTGTTTTTGTTCAGGCAACTCAGTGTAACTGCCACCAAAAATCTAAAGAGGAAAAATGCACATATGCTGATAAATATACCCAAACACCCTGGAGAAAAATTCCTGTAAGTAATCATATGCCCTTAACAACTTCTCTTGTCATTTACTATTTTGATGTTTTGTTCTACTCTTTTTAGTCTAATCTCTAATAATTTTGAATTTGCCATGGCTGTTAATTACTTTTAGGTAAGTTGATTTTTTTTGTCTCTTAGGTGTTTACGTGCTTTCTAAAGCTTTTCTTGTGTGTGTTATATAAATGAATGTGCATTTAATAGCTTTTCCATCCTGCTCACTGTAGCCCATTTTATTTGAGTGTCCAGTCTCCTCTCATTGCGTGTATTTATGAGAGTAGATTACCCAAAAAGAAATGAAGTCCAAAATGCAGTCTTCCCTCTCTAGCAGCATATGACTCTTTGAAAATACATGATGTAACATATTCTGTTTTTTGTTGAAGTATATTCTATTTTCAGATATATTCTATTATTATAGTATATTATAAAAATTCTATTATAATAAATGTTGAGGCTATTGGGAAGTATAAATGCGTTAAAATACAGACAGTAAAGGTTATGTTTTAGAGCATAGTTAGGGAATGGTTTCTTCTAAACAGTCGAAGGTACCCATGCATTCCATGTGTCTTTGTTGTTTTTCAAAAAAGTTACATCTCAAAACGTATTTAGTGCTAGAATACACTGACCATAATTTAATCTGAGTTCTTCTGAACTCAGTTCAGGATGTGCCTGAGCCATCAGTCATCATTATCCTATTGTATGGTGCCAAGTAATAGATATTTCTTAAGAGAATGCCTAATAAGCCAACCTTGACTCTTCTTTTGCCTTACTTTGGCAGTGGAATCGTAGTAACACAAATAAACAGGGAACTATAATGGTTAATGTAATCAACAATCCAATTTTTAAAACTTGGCTATAGGCCTTAAAAGTTTATACAATACTTATTTCTTTTCATTCTAATAGTTTTTGTGTGCTCTGTATAAGGTATGATGCTAATAATTAATTTATTCAACCATAGTTTGGTGAGCCTCTCCCATCTCAGTTATATAAAGGCTCTTGAAGTAGAAGTAGGGAATTGGGGAAGGAAATACACAGACGAATAAGGATTCCTCCATTAACAAGTGCTTATTAAAGGAACTGGTGATGTGATAATAGTTAAAGTGTAGGAAGTTCTGTAAGGTTCAGAGGATTGGGAAAGTCTAGTTGGAAGAATCAAGGAGCTTGGTGAAGAAGGTGAAGGTAGTGGTTGAATCATACAGAGCAGAAGATGCCAGTAGTCAGAGATGATGTAATACTTCTTTAATGACAAAGGATATGGAAACGTAATCTGTTTGGAGGTGATTACAAGATAAAAGACATGCTTCTTGTTTCTAGATGGAAGTTTGGGCTTTCTAGGTTTCTCCAGTTCCTCACAGGGATGTTTGTACTTTCTGGCTTACTCAGTAGAAGGGTGATTTCATTATGTGTGAGAAGTTCCATTTTGCCATCCTCATGGGAGTCATTATACCATCTCTGGCTCCCTCAACCTCACCGTCCTGGAAACCAGCTGTTAACTCAGCCTGCTCATCAGACAAAAGTGTGGTGCAAAACAACCCCAAGACATTCCTGAATGTATTCCTGAGTTACTTTTACTGTGATCTTGGGTGAAGTGAAGGTCAGTTTTCCAGCCTATCACTCCTCACAAACCCAGACTTCAGGCTTCCTTATCTATTACTGTAGGAATCACTTGGCTTAATACGTTTGTTTTATAGATAATGTAACAAAAGCTGGGGAGAGTAAATGGCATATTGAAGTTTCCATAATTAATCAGTGGCTGAGATAGTCCTATAACTTCAGGCTCCTGCCTGCTCGTCCAAGGTTCCTTTCCCTAAAAGCACACTGAGAAGCCTTGAAGGATTAGGAGAAGTTTTGCAGATTGAAATGGGAGAAATATCCTTGGCAAAAGGAACAGTACAAGTAAAGGCAAAGAGGTGGGAAGATAAAGTTAGGCAATAGTAAGTACATGGTTTTGGCTGAAACACAGATGTATGTTTAGGGAAATAGTTGAAGTTAGTGTTAAAGCTCACTTGAAGGTAGAATTCAAAATTTTATTCAGGAATTGCTGTTAAAATAGTTTTACTAAGTTGTATTTATTTAGTTAAAGAAATAGTTACATATATTTATTACTTAGTTATGTGCTAATTATTAAATATGAACGTTAAATATTCAGTTTATTCTCTGATTTTTACATTCTTTGAACTTAGTGAGATTTATTTGAAATAAATTACTTTATTTTGGAAACCATTTACTATAAGTTACACTTGACTCTACACGTTCTTTTTTTAGCAGGAACCCAACATATTTAAACAAGATGTTGATGATGAGGATGGGGAGATGCAGTGGGATTCTTCTTTGACAACATCTAGTTTGTTAGTGATTTTGGAAATCAAAACGTTATATTAAAAAAATCCCTATGATTATTATAGGTAAAATTTTTTTGATCCAGATAAGCCTTTAGGAAGATTGAAAGTTATAATCTGAGTCCTTGTTCTTCACCGTTCCCTGTAATATCATGGGAAATTTAAATGTCTGTCTTGATACTCTCTCAGTTACTTGAGGATTGTGGAATCTACCTCAGAGAGTGCGAGGCATATTTAAGCATTTCCTCTGAACATTTCCTGGAATCGGAGGAAGGAATCTGGCTGCAATAGAAGGCAGAGAAGGATGGTGGAGGAGAGAGAGCTACTGCCTGTAATACTTATTGGCAGCCGTTTGGAAGGTAGAAAGAAATATGGAAAAAAGTAATAATATAAACATCTTACTCAGAGGAAGGAGAGTGGTAGGCCAACAACAGCATATAAACATCTTACTCAGAGGAAGGAGAGTGGTAGGCCAACAACAGCAGCAGAGCAATGGAAATTGGAATGTGTTGAGCCCAACATTAAGTGTTCATAAATTTGCCCAAGAGAATTTTGGTATCTCCTACTGGCTACAGATGAAATTTTTAAAGTAGAGAACCAACAGGAAATAAGAGGAGGAAACAAGGAAGTAGAACAGCAGAAAGGGAGAAAAGTAGATATTCACTTACTCTTTCAGCAGATGTTTGTGTGCCTTCTCTATGCTAGGCATTGTCCTCATCTGAGAGTGTAAACATGAAAAAGTTACAGTCCCAGCCCTTAGGGTGCTTGCAGAAACCTCTAGTGTGCCTAAATGGTGTTAATCTCACCTTTTCCTACACATGAAGAATCTAAGAGTAAGAAGTGACCACTTGTGCAAATACTTAGGCAACTTGTGTTATGCCAGAGACCAGGTTTTCTACCTTGTAGGTAACATCTTAGTTGCCTCACTTTTGAGTGGCTGCAAGAGGCAAGGTGGGTAGAAGGAAGAGAGAGGAGAACAGGGTCATAGCTCTGGGAAGGAAGGACAGAGACTTGATCTCATTGAGAGATCATGATAAGGACTTATTTTCCTGAGAGAGAAAAACAGGTGCCCAGGTTTACGCTGTGTGGTAGAGATTTTAGCAGTCCGTAGCGATAATCTATAGAACGTACCTGTGGTATTTAAAATTGCTGGGAGAAAAGTATTTATGGTTGAAAAGGCATAGTTTCAGGGTGAGTGTAAAAGAAAAGTCCTCCGCAACCAAGTTAGGTTCAATTCCAATGTTAGTGTGAAGAAATCTATTGACGTAGTAGGTTGCATAAGTAATTTTCTCAATAGAAAGAATAATAAAATTTAACGCCTTTAAAGATATGAGAAAAATAGAATGCTAAGGACACTTTATGACTGACATAGAGTCAAAAAATGTATATGCTTACAAGAGAAACACAATAAAATGGCTTTCTTCCTCCCTGTTTTTATTGAGAGGTAACCATGTATTCATTCTATAGCAAATAGAAAATAAAGAAACCACACAATTTAAGAAAAATTTAAATTACTCAAATTGTATTAATCACTGACAGTCATTGTTAACGTTTTGTATCTGGTCTTCCAGAATTTTTATGTAATGCCTATCATCTATCTAGATGGAATTGTGGATGTGCTGTATTTTAACCTGCTTAGGTGGTTGATGTTATTACTATTTTGTTTGATTTTTTGCTAAACCAAAATTGAAGGAATACATTACTTTTAATGAAAAATGAATTTTCTTAGTGGATAGTCCTTTGTAAGGCTCTTGAAATACCTTACCATTTTTTTTTTCCTGAAAGATTTATACAGTTTATACTACCACCAGCTAAGTTATGATCAGAAAATGGCCGTGATGTTAGATTGTAGACTCAAGTGTTTGATGTCATCAGGTTACAAGAGCCTACGATATTTACTTGTACAAAAGAGAAATACCTGCTGCCCTGACAAGCCAGGTCACATTTTGGCCGGGATGGCTCCCCGTTGGTCCCCACACCATCATTTCAGGTGGCACTGGAGGCCACTCTCAACTATGTTAGTTATGACCATTCCTGTTTTGTGATGTTTTCTTACCTTACAAATTATGACCTTCCTCCTCCTGCCCGAGGAACCACTTCATTAGGCTCTTTTTTGCATATATTCAACCTCAGCTTTTATATATTCATTATGTATTTTAATCCTTAGAATTTTGGGAATGTCTTTCTGCCTGTTGTGACATTTGGCTTTCATGTTACAGGTACTATTGGTGTTGGAGCTTTACTGATAAAGATCAGACCTGTTTTGGGTTTAGTTGGGGTGTTATTTATGAAATTGAACCCTAGCAAGAGGACACTAGTTAATCACCTGCTGGATGCTCTTCATTTAGGGTGTGACAAAGGTGCCTGCTGCTACAGGGAGCTGCCTAAGACATGCTGTGGGCATATTACAGGACACTTGCAAGTATAGTTTGTGTTCAAGAAACTGTAGTTTGCTTCATATTGGAACAGCATTTCCAATATGAAGCACCTCTTACCTTGTAGAATAAAGGGTACGTGAGGCTACCCTGTGCTTGCGAAAGGAATAACATGGTGGCATAAACTGCCCAGAGCCCTGCATTATGAAAAGAAGGCAGGCACAGTAGGACTGAGATCCAGAATTGAGAATGAGAGGCCACTGTACAGCAGCACTCTCGC